CACAGCCCAGCGTTTTGCAGGATGCTCTCTGCACAGAAGTTAAATAAACAGGGTGACAGTATACGGCCTTCTTGTACTTGTACTGCCATAGGGTAGTATCATCCGCATATCTGAGGTTATTGATATTTCTCCCAGCAGTCTTGATCCCAGCTTGTGAGTCACAGCCCAGCGTTTTGCAGGATGCTCTCTGCACAGAAGTTAAATAAGCAGGGTGACAGTATACGGCCTTCTTGCACTTGTACTGCCATGGGGTAGTATCATCCGCATATCTGAGGTCATTGATATTTCTCCCAGCAGTCTTGATCCCAGCTTGTGAGTCACAGCCCAGCGTTTTGCAGGATGCTCTCTGCACAGAAGTTAAATAAGCAGGGTGACAGTATACGGCCTTCTTGTACTTGTACTGCCATAGGGTAGTATCATCCGCATATCTGAGGTTATTGATATTTCTCCCAGCAGTCTTGATCCCAGCTTGTGAGTCACAGCCCAGCGTTTTGCAGGATGCTCTCTGCACAGAAGTTAAATAAGCAGGGTGACAGTATACGGCCTTCTTGTACTTGTACTGCCATAGGGTAGTATCATCCGCATATCTGAGGTCATTGATATTTCTCCCAGCAGTCTTGATCCCAGCTTGTGAGTCACAGCCCAGCGTTTTGCAGGATGCTCTCTGCACAGAAGTTAAATAAGCAGGGTGACAGTATACGGCCTTCTTGTACTTGTACTGCCATAGGGTAGTATCATCCGCATATCTGAGGTTATTGATATTTCTCCCAGCAGTCTTGATCCCAGCTTGTGAGTCACAGCCCAGCGTTTTGCAGGATGCTCTCTGCACAGAAGTTAAATAAGCAGGGTGACAGTATACGGCCTTCTTGCACTTGTACTGCCATAGGGTAGTATCATCCGCATATCTGAGGTTATTGATATTTCTCCCAGCAGTCTTGATCCCAGCTTGTGAGTCACAGCCCAGCGTTTTGCAGGATGCTCTCTGCACAGAAGTTAAATAAGCAGGGTGACAGTATACGGCCTTCTTGCACTTGTACTGCCATAGGGTAGTATCATCCGCATATCTGAGGTTATTGATATTTCTCCCAGCAGTCTTGATCCCAGCTTGTGAGTCACAGCCCAGCGTTTTGCAGGATGCTCTCTGCACAGAAGTTAAATAAGCAGGGTGACAGTATACGGGCTTCTTGTACTTGTTTCCCAATTTGGATCCAGTCCGTTGTTTCATGTCTAGTTCTAACTGTTGCTTCTTGACCTGCATACAAATTTCTCAGAAGGCAGGTTAAGTGGTCTTTTATTCCCATCTCTTTAAGCATTTTCCACTGTTTTTTTGTGATCTACACAGTCAAAGGCTTTAGCATAGTCAGTGAAGCAGAATGTTTCATGTTCCAGATTTTTTTCTGGAATTCTCTTGCTATTTCTGTGACCCAACGGATGTTGGCAATTTGATCTCTGGTTCCTCTTCCTTTTCTAAATCCAGCTTGAAATCTGAAAGTTCTTGGTTCACGTACTGTTGAAGCTTTAACTCGGAAAATTTTGAGCATTACTTTGCTAGCTTGTGAGATGAGTACAATTGTGCAATGGTTTGAACATTCTTTGACATTACCTTTCCTTGGGATTGCAATGAAACCTGACCTTTTCCAGTCTTGTGACCACTGCTGAGTTTTTCAAAATTTCTGGCATGTTGAGTGCAGCACTTTCACAGCATAATCTTTTAGGATTTGAAATAGATCAGCTGGAATTCCATCACCTCCACTAGCTTTGTTTTTATTGATGCTTCCTAAGGGCCATTTGACTTTGCACTCCAGGATGTCTGGCTTTAGGTGAGTGATCACACCATTGTGGTTATCTGGGTCATTAAGATCTTTTTTGTATAGTTCTGTGTTTTCTTGTCACCTCTTCTTAATATCTTCTGCTTCTGTTATGTCCATGGTGTTTCTGTCCTTTATTGAGTCCATCTTTGCATGAAGTGTTCCCTTGGTAGCTCTAATATTCTTGAAGATATCTCTCGTCTATCCCATTGTATTGTTTTCCTGTATTTCTTTCCATTGATCACTGAAGAAGGCTTTCTTATCTCTCCTTGCTATTCTTTGGAACTCTGCATTCAGATGGATATATCTTTCCTTTTCTCCTTTGCCTTTTGCTTCTCTTCTTTTCTCAGCTATTTTTAGGTCTCCTCAGACAACTATTTCGTCTTTCTGCATTTCTTCTTCTTGGGGATGGTTTTGATCACCGCCTCTTGTACAATGTTATGAACCTCTGTCCATAATTCTTCAGGCACTCTGTCAGATCCAATCCCTTGAATCTATTTGTAGCTTCCACTGTATCATCATAAGGGATTTGATTTAGGTTTAGTGGTTTTCTGTACTTTCTTCAACTTACGTCTGAATTTTGCAATGAGGAGTTCATGATCTGAGCCACAGTCAGCTCCCGATCTTATTTTTTGCTGACTGTATAGAGCTTCTCCATCTATGGCTGCAAAGAATATAATCAATGTGATTTCGGTATTGACTCTCTGGTGACATCCATTTGTAGAGTCGTCTTTTGTGTTGTTGGAAGAGGGCATTTGCTATGACCAGTGCGTTCTCTTGGCAAAACTCTGTTAGCCATTGCCTTGCTTCATTTTGTACTCCACGGCCAAACTTGCCTGTTACTCCAGGAATCTCTTGACTTCCTACTTCTGCATTTCATTCCCCTGTGATGAAAAGGACATCTTTTTTTGGTGTTAGTTCTAGAAGGTCTTCTAGGACTACTAGAACCTATCAACTTCAGCTTCTTTGGCATTAGTGGTTGGGGCATAGACTTGGATTACTGTGATACTGAATGGTTTGCCGTGGAAACGAATAGAGATCATTGTGTCATTTTTGAAATTGCATCCAAGTACTGCATTTCAGACTTGTTGACTATAAGGGCTACTGCATTTCTTCTAAGGTATTCTTGCCCACAGTAGTAGATACAATGGTCATCTGAATTAAATTCACCCATTCCAGTCCATTTTAGTTCATTGATTCCTAAAATGTCAATTTTCACTCTTGCCATCTCCTGTTTGACCACTTCCAATTAACTTTAATGTGTGGACCTAACATTCCAGGCCCCTTATTGAGCTATAATTGACAAAATTTAAACACATTTAAAATGTGCAATTTGATAAATTGATAGAAGTTTACATTGTGAAATGATTCCTACAGTCAGATTGATAGTTAACACAATCTCACCTCACTTTAGTTAGTTTCCTTTTTGTTTGTTTTTTGGTGAGAATGCTTGAGATCTACTCTCAGCATGTTTCAAGTATAAAAAAACAGTGTAATTAACTTTAGTCACCGTCCTGTACATTGGGTCCTCAGGATCTGATAACTTTTACCAACCTTCCCCTATTTCTCCACCCCTAGTCTCTGGCAAACATTCTACTCTCTGAGTTGGATTTTTTTTAAGAATCCACATTTAAGTAATACCATGAAGTATTTGTTATTCTCTATCTGACTTAGTTCACTTAGCATAATTCCTTCCAGCTTCGTCTGTGTTGTTGGAAATGACAAGATTTCCTTCTTTCTAAAGGTGGAACAATATTTCATTGTGTGTGTATATTTATGTGTGTCTGTGCATTTTACATCTTCTGTATCCTTTCATCTTGATGGACATTTAGTTTATTTCCATGTCTTGGCTGCTGTGCATAAAACTGCAGTGAATGTGGGGGGTGCAGATGCCTATTTGGGATCGTGAATTTATGTCCTTTGGATGTGTACCCAGAAGTGGCATTGCTGGCTCATATGATGTGAACTAGTCTTGACTGAAAAAGAGTATAGGGTCTTCTCTCAATTACTAGGAGCCATTCTGTAGACTTGGAAGATACAGTCTAGTACAAACTAGTGATTCTCAAACTTTTATATATATCAGAGTCACATGGGAAAGCTTGTTAAACATTCAGATTATGGGATCCCAGCCAGAGGCAGGTATGTGGAGACCACACTAAGAAAAGCCAGATTAGAATAAGCACATAGTTAAATTTTTTCAAATCTGAACGAACGGTGCAATATGTAATCCTGTACTTTGGCAGATGGCCTGTTTTACAGAACAAAAGCTATATCTGAGGCTAAGAAAGTGTTCAGAGTGAGTTTGTTATTTAGAGCAGTGTTAAATGGTAACCATAGTAAGGACAGGGCTTCTCAGGTGTCACTAGTGGTAAAGAACCTCCCTGCCAGTGCAGGAGACACAGGTTCACAGGTTCAATCCCCGGGTCGGGAAGGTCCCCTTCAGAAGGAAATGGCAGCCCACTCCAGTGTTCTTACCTGGGAAATCCCGTGGACAGAGGAGCCTGGCAGGCTCTGGTCCACAGGATCGCAAGGGGCTGGACATGGCCAAAGCGACTTAGCACAGCACACAGTAAGGATGATGGTGATGGTGATTGTTATCATTGATTGTCATTTATTTTAAATTAGGTAAAATATCAGCTGTAGTGTAGACAATTAAAATTATTAATTTTTCTCCCATTTCTTTTCTTAATAGTTAATGTATGTTGTTTTAATTATGATCTTCATTCAATGGACTTGTGCTTCATTTCATCATTTTAGTAAGTTTTTACCTGAGAGTGGCCTCTTTGTGGTCAAATAACTTAAGTCTCAAGCACAGTCATCTACCCAGTAAGAGCTCTAGGGATCAGCTAGTTTAGGGCCCGACCTAAAATGCATTGAAATTAATTATAGCAGATGGCACATATTCTTCAGGTGTCGTTTAATTCAGGCATTTTTCCAGGGTGGTATCGTTAGTTATTCAGTTGGCTTAAAGACAGGAAATTGGGCTCAATGATTTTCAGGGGTCCCTACCTTATTTGTGATTACTGATCTTAGTTCAAAACCTCAAGTAAGAGCTGACTCTTCCTGGAATAAGATGGCTACCTGAAACACGTGACTCCCTAGTTGTCTGAATAGGAACTTTCATCTGTCCCTTTCTGTTTCCATTTAGTTGAATCCTCTCAGAGTTGCTTACAGTGTGTTTTTAATGTCCAGGAGGAAGTGGTAAAGTTAACTGAGAAATGTCTGAATAATGCCATCGACAGCCCAGCGCTGAATACCAGGAGAGTTCCTCCTGACTTGAAGAGTAATATTCTGAAGGCTCAAGCAGAAGCAGTGCAGAAGGTAAGCTGCCTTCACTAGGGTCCCACTGAGGTGGAAGGAGACCCTATGGAACAAGAACACACGCAGATGGTAGACATGAGTGAGCAGGCTGGTGGTGAGATAGAGGGTAAAACCAGGAAGCATGCTCAAGGTGGCAAATGCCTTTCCAGCTCTAAATTCTAGTCAGAGTAGATTAGGATGGGGCAGTCATGAAGTAAAAAGAATAAAGTTTTTTAAAAGTCAAATTCCTATAGAAGTGAGTCCCTAATCTTTTGTCACTTTTATAGCTGGAAACCCTAGAGTGATTTTAGGTCTTTATCAATTCACTTTTCTTCCCATCTGTCTATCCCAATTCAGCAAAATTATTAGCTGAACAGCTGATTCAGTAAAGTTATCAGTCATATTATTAGCAACTGAGTGATGGTTGCAAGACGAAGCGTTGGTTGTGACATCTTGTGAAGGACGCAGTGTGACCAGCCCCCAAGAAGTTAATGGCATCCGTGCTCTCAAAATCGGCTTTTCCTTGGCCCTCCCACCTGTCAGATTTACCCTCTGTGCTGAAATAGGGCAGATGCCTGTCTTACTGCATCCTGTTGTCAACGAGGATTTCCCAGCACCTTGTTGTTGAGAAGAGGCTCTTTACCTATCCTGGCCCAGGCTCAGGCCTTGAAGAGAACTGGGAGAACTTGAGGAATGGTGTTCGTGTGCTTTCTGTACCTTCTCATCCAGATGGAGATGTAAAACATAATGTTCACATGTAAAAATAATTACGAAATATGTCAGTACAGGCTCTGGAATTAGACAGCTGGAATTTGAATCCTGTTTCTTATCTACCATCTACTAGCTTTGTGACTTGGCAACTTAGTTTATTTCTCTGAGCCTCAGTTAAATTATGTTTAAATGGGGGTAATGGTAATACCTACTCTCAGGTGGATTGTAAGGATAAAATAAAATAATAAATATGAAGGCCGTGGGGTGACTCCTGGCAGGCACATAGTGAGTGTTTAGCAAATGTTGATCCCGATGCTGACACTGCCTCTTGTAGCAGCAGAGGTGGTGGCAGCTGTCATCACCTGACATTTCAGTTGTATTTCTTAATCTATCTTGACTCAAATAAGAGAGAGAAATAACTTCAATAGCTCTAAATGAAAGAGATTTTGTTTTGTAGTTTAAAATCATCCTGCAAGGAAAAACTCAGGACCAGATGTCTTCACTGTTAAGATTACTGAACATTTAAGGAAGAAATAATAACAGTTCTGCATAAGTTCTTGCAGGAAATAGAAAAGCAGGGAGCATGTCCCAGCTCACTTCCAAGGCAGGTTTTACCCTGATACCAAAGCCAGAGAGTGATTGTACAGAAAAAGCTGCTACAGACTGAAAGCCCTAAACAAAATAGAAGCAGGTCATACTCAACAGTTTATAAACAGGGTAGTAACCATGGCCAAGAGTTTATCTTGGGGGAAAAGGTGGTTTATCATTCAAAAACCAGTATAGTTCAACATATTAAAAACTAAGGAAAATGTCTCCACTTATATGGAAAGGACATTCCACAGGATTTAAGACCTGATCATGATAAATGTTCACAACAAAATAGGAATAGAGTGGAACTTCAGCTTGATAAGGGGTGTCTATGCAAATAATCTACAGCTAACCTCATACCTCATAGCTAAAGTTAACAACTGACCATCCCCGTGTGGGCAGTAATGGACTGCCTGCAATTCACACGGCTGGTAAGAACATAAAATATTGCAGGTAATTTAGAAAGGAGTTTGGTGATATATTAAACATACACTTCTCGTGTGACCCAGCAGTACCACTCCTAGGTATTTATCCAAGAGAACTTAAAACATAGGTTCATACAGATACTGGTACATGAATGCTTTGCTTCTGGGAGCTTTGTTTTTAATAGGTAAAAACTAGAAGTGATCCAAATGTCCATCAGCAAGGAGACAGATAAACAAATCAGGCTATATTTGTAAAGTGTAAATCTACTCAGCACATAAAAAGGAATATGTTGATGCATGCAACACCATGGGTCAACCTCAAAAACATCATGCCTCTCTAAAGAGGGAAGCACAGAAGACAGGTGTTATGAATCCACTTATATGTGGCTATAGTGCTGCAGCTACTGAAGCCCACGTACCTAGGAGCCTGTGCTCCACAGGAGAAGCCGCCACAATGAGAAGCCCATGCACTGCAACGAAGAGTAGCCCACGGTCCCTGCAGCTGGAGAAAGCCTGCGGGCAGCAACAGAAACCTGCAGGCCAAAAAAAGTCCAGATCATGGCTGGCTGCATGTGCGGGTTTTTGATGGGATTGCATTGGAAACCTCAAGGGAACATTTGGGGGCAGTGGACATGTTATGTATGTTGATTGTAGTGTTGATTAGGTACCCCTGTATATTTTTCAGAACTCATCATCATACTTAAAACGTGTGGCATTTTGCTGTACGTACATGATATCTCAATAAAATTAAGGGAAAAACTGACTTCAGAAAGATTTTTTAGAATTCTCTTCTGAAATATTCAGGGAAAAGTAAAAAGCCAAATACACAGCTTAACATCTATTTCTTCTTTTGATAAATTTGAAAAATTCTGGCATTGAATCTTTTTGGATTCTGTGTATATTGACCAACATATGGTGGTGTCTTAAATCATGGAGAGCTGTCTAGTAAAGCATATGGATTTGCATACCTATGTATTGAAATGGGCACTTGGTGTGTGAGTTCAGGTGTGAATAGGACTGCACTAGGTGCAGTTAACTGATATTGCATGGATGAGCTGTGATTGACTGTTTCTAGAACAGAAGGAAACTGGTGTTTCAGTTTTTACTGCAAAGGAATATAAATTTCTTCTTACTTTAGTATCATCGATAGAGATTTAATTTTTGTGACTTCCTTTTCTTAGGTTGCAAGAGAAGATCGCTTATTAAGTCATAAAAATGCCAGTGTTCAGGATGCTTCCACAGACAGGTACAGTGCTGGGAAGATGGGAGTAAACTGATGCTCTTTTCCTCTTACCTTTCTTTGGGGGTGCTTTTTTCCCTCTTTTCAAGTCTGTGACCACATGGTTTCGGAACATCTATTTGAAAGATAGTTTGACTCACTCTTCTGTCCATTAATACATAGCTTCTTAAGCCCTACTTTTAGATCATTTGAAGCTACTCCTGATTAGTCTTTTTCAGTCTCATCCTTCTTCAGCTGATTGAAACCTGTGAAGGTAGTGTCAATGTTGTAAGGTGCCTGCTGAGGAGCATGTGCAACGTCTCTCCGGTGTGGCAGCTGTCTTGGTGCCACGCTGTCAGCACAGTGGGTTGTTTCTACAAACTTTGTTTCTACAGGCTCTCACGTGACCCTCGCAGGTGTCTTCACGGTTCCTTCTGAGTTTTTCTGCGTCTTTTTTCATTGACTGTTACACCATTTATTTATCTTACTAGATTTCTGCCCCCTGCTTTATGCCGGTTTGTTTCGTTCATCTCTGTGTATCCAGTGTTCTGTGCTTACTTGGTGCTAAACGTTGTTGAGTGAATATTCTGGTTAATGCTCTTCAGTTCCAGGTGCTGTTATCAACATAACACTTAAGTGCATGCTTTGTATAGAGGACTTTACAGTTAGTACTCAGCAAACGTACTCATTGGTGATCAGGGTACAACTGGAATTCCAGCCTAACGTTTTAATTAATTCTAGTAAATCAAGTTTCCCACATCCTTTAAAAATTATTGCTTTATTTTGCTGCGTCAGGTCCTAGTCGCAGCATGAGGGCTCTTTGTCTCGTTAGGCGGGATCTTTCAGTGCAGCACATGGACTCACTCGTTGCAGTCCGTGGGCTTCAGTAGTTGCAGCACATGGGTTCAGTTGCCCTGTGGCATGTGGGGTCTTAGTTCCCTAACCGGCGATCAAACCTGAGTCTCCTTGCTTGCAAGGTGGACTCTTTACCACTGGACCATCAGGGAAGTCCCTTGCCCACAACATTTTTAATACTGTTATTATTGAAGCCTTTTAGAGTAACCTCATCATAAACTTTTTTTGTGAAGAGGGGAATAATGAAGATGTAACTACCCAGCTGTTTATCAGAAATTTCACTGAAGCTGGAAAGATGTTATGAATATCCAACTTCCACATTTTTTTCTCTTCATGGCTGTTGGTGTTCTGATCATCTATTTTCCTTCCAGCATTTGAGATGGATCCTTTAAAGCAGAAATCCCCAACCTTTTTGGCTCCAGGGACCAATTCCATGGAAGACAGTTTCGATGGTTTCGGGATGATTCAAGCACATTACATTTATTGTTCACTTTATTTCTATTATTATGACATCAGTTATGTCTCAGATCATCAGGCATTAGATCCTAGAGGTTGGGGACCCCTGCTTTAAATAATACTCATGTTCTTATATACTTTTATATAAACTTGAGTCTGTTTCTGAGTCTTTTCCTTTCCAGTTACTCTGATTTTTCTTCCCCTTGCCATACTAGACTTTTAAAAAATTGCTGTACCCCCTTTCTAAAAGGGAATATTTCAGGCATAAGAAAGCTGTAGAGATTGCATAATACATATCTGTGCACCAAATGTCAAGCTTTGTCACATTTTCCTATTTTGCTCTAGTAGATTTAGATCATTTTTATTTTATCCTTTTTATAAAGTTGTAGTTCCTGTGCATTTACACTTTATAGGTGTGCGATTTAGTGCTTTTTAGTACTTTGACTGAGTTGTGCAGCCCTTACCACTATTAATTACATAATACTGTCATCATACCTAAAAGAAGCATTCTCCCTATATGAGTCTCTCCACTTCCTCGTCCAGTACCCGGCAGCCATCCATCTGCTTTCTGCCTGTACTGGATTTTCCTACTTTGGATGGTTCATATAACTGGAATTGTACAAATATGTGTCTGACTTTTCATTTAGCATAATGTTTTCAAGGTGTACCCATGTAGTATGTTTTGGTACTTTATAGCTGAATAATAGTCCATTGTGTAGATATGCCATATTTTGTTTATCCATGTGTCGATGGATATTTCCGTTGTTTGTTGTTTAATCACTAAGTCATGTCCAACTCTTTTTGCAACCCCATGGACTGTACCTTGCCGGTCTCTGTGCATGGGATTTCCCAGGCAAGAATACTGGAGTGGGTTGCTGTTTCCTTCTCCAGGGGCTCTTCCCGACCCAGGGATGGAACCTGCCTCTCCTGCACTGGCAGGTGGGTTCTTTACCCCTGAGCCACCTGGGAAGCCCTTGTTATTTCTACTTTGTGGCTGTTTTGAATAAGGTCATTCTTGAACATTTACATACAAACAATTTGTAGACTTGCTTTCAGTTCTCTTTAATATGTGCCCAGGAGGGTTGTTGCTCAGTCATGTGCTAAGTATTTTTAGCTTACTGAGGACCTGCCCAGCTATCTTCCAAGGCAGCTGTGGCATTTTCCAGTTCCACCTGCCAATGTATGATCATTTCTGTTTCTCCATATCCTTGCCAATGTTTATTATTCTCCATTTTAAAAATTATACCCATCCCAGTGAGTATGAACCACAAAACTCTATGTGGTTCTAATTTTCATTTACCTTAAGTGTAATGATGTTATTGTATGACAGAAAGCAATCCAACATCGTAAAGCAGTTATCCTCCAACTAAAAAAATAACAATGATATTGAACATCTTTTCTGCTTTGGAGAAATTTCTGTTCAGACCATTTGTTTTTGTAGTAACAGCTTTATTAAGATACAGTTCAAATACTACGCAATGCAGTTCACCCATTTACAGTGTATAATTCAGTGGGTTTTGTTTTGATATATATGAATTTTAAAAAATTATCCATGGTTTCTTCATATTCTTTTTAAAAAATTTATTTTTTTTTAATTGAAGGATGATTGCTTTATAATATTGCTTTGGTTTCTGCCATACATGGACATAAATCAGCCATAGATAAACACATGTGTCCTCCCTCTCGGCCCTCCGGCCCACCTTCCCCACCCCTCTAGGTTCTTACAGAGCCCTGGTTTGAGTCCCCTGGGTCACATAGCAAATTTCCACTGGCTGGCTGTTTTATGTGATGGTGTATGTGGTTCCGTGCTGCTGTCTCCATCTGTCTCACCCTCTCCTTCCCCCTGCCACCCGTGTCCATAGTCTATTATCCATGTCTGCATCTCCATTGCTGCCCTGCCAGTAGGTTCCTCGGTACCGTCTTTCTAGATTCCATATATGTGCATTAATATACAATAATTGTTTTTCTCTTTCTGACTTACTTCACTCTGTGTAATAGGCTCTAGGTTCATCCACCTGATTAGAATGGACTCAGATGTGTTCCTTTTTATGGCTGAGTACTATTCCATTGTATCTACGTACCAGAGCTTCTTTATCCACTCATCTATTGATGGACATCTGGGTTGCTTCCATGTCCTGGCTATTGTAAATAGTGCTGCAGTGAACACTGGGGGTACACGTGTCTTCAGTTTTGGTTTCCTCAGGTATATGCCTAGAAGTGGTATTTCTGGGTCATGTGGTAGTTTTATTCCTAGTTAAAGGAATCTCCACACTGGCTTCTGTAGTGGCTGTATTGTTTACATTCCCACCAACATTGGAAGATTGATATATTTATTTACTTTTGGCTGTGCTGGGGGTCTCCATTGCTGCGCGCGGGCTCTCTAGTTGCAGCGAGTGGGGTTAATCTGGTTGTGGTGCACAGACCTCTCGTTGCAGCGGCTTTTTTTGCTGTAGAGTGCGGGCTCAGGAGTCGTCGCACACGGGCTCAGGAGTCGCTGCGCGCGGGCTCAGGAGTCTCTGCGCGCGGGCTCAGGAGTCGCTGCGCGCGGCCTCAGGATCGCTGCACGCGGCCTCAGGAGTCATTGCGCACGGGCTCAGGAGTCATTGCGCACGGGCTCAGGAGTCATTGTGCACGGGCTCAGGAGTCGCTGCGCGCGGGCTCAGGAGTCGCTGCGCGCGGCCTCAGGATCGCTGCACGCGGCCTCAGGAGTCATTGCGCACGGGCTCAGGAGTCATTGCGCACGGCCTTAAGAGTCATTGCGCACGGGCTCAGGAGTCGCTGCGCGCGGGCTCAGGATCGCTGCACGCGGCCTCAAGAGTCATTGCGCACGGGCTCAGGAGTCATTGCGCGCGGGCTCAGGAGTCGCTGCACGCGGCCTCAGGAGTCATTGCGCACGGGCTCAGGAGTCATTGCGCACAGGCTCAGGAGTCGCTGCGCGCGGGCTCAGGAGTCGCTGCGCGCGGGCTCAGGAGTCGCTGCGCGCGGCCTCAGGATCGCTGCGCGCGGCCTCAGGATCGCTGCACGCGGCCTCAGGAGTCATTGCGCACGGGCTCAGGAGTCATTGCGCACGGGCTCAGGAGTCATTGCGCACGGGCTCAGGAGTCGCTGCGCACGGGCTCAGGAGTCGCTGCGCGCGGCCTCAGGATCGCTGCACGCGGCCTCAGGAGTCATTGCGCACGGGCTCAGGAGTCATTGCGCACGGCCTTAAGAGTCATTGCGCACGGGCTCAGGAGTCGCTGCGCGCGGGCTCAGGAGTCGCTGCGCGCGGCCTCAGGATCGCTGCACGCGGCCTCAAGAGTCATTGTGCACGGGCTCAGGAGTCATTGCGCGCGGGCTCAGGAGTCGCTGCACGCGGCCTCAGGAGTCATTGCGCACGGGCTCAGGAGTCATTGTGCACGGGCTCAGGAGTCATTGTGCACGGGCTCAGGAGTCATTGCGCGCGGGCTCAGGAGTCATTGCGCGCGGGCTCAGGAGTCGCTGCGCATGGGCTCAGGAGTCGCTGCGCGTGGGCTCAGGAGTCGTTGCACACGGCCTCAGGAGTCGTTGCACACGGGCTCAGGAGTCGTTGCACACGGCCTCAGGAGTCGCTGCACACGGGCTCAGGAGTTGCTGCACACAGGCTCAGCAGTTGTGACTCTCAGGCTCCAGGACACAGGCTCAGTGGTTGTGGCACATGGGCTTTGTTGCTCTGTGGCGTGTGGGATCTTTCTGGATCA